GCCCGGGGGCCATAGGTTGCCGACCCCTGCATTACACCAACTGGCATTCACTTAGTGAAGAATTTATCACTCTCTGGACCTTTCCAATCAGTCCATGGCTGCTAGATCTTATCTGCCAGGATAAGCATGAGTCAAGGTTACATGTACCAATTCAGGTGTATTGTCTACATCAGTGATTCCCAAATGTTGGTTCTCCAAGGTGTTTTGGACTTCAGTTTCCAGAAGCCCCAGCTAGCTTGGCCAACAGTCAGGAATTCTGGGAGCTGAAGTCCAAAACACCTGAAGTACCAAAGTTGGGGACTCACTGGTCTACATCATCAGACCATAGAAACTGAAACTGTTCCCAAGAGGCTTGACTTGTCATTTTGAGTTTTATTACTAAACTGCATCAGATTCTGAGCAATTTAAATCACACACATATAGACTATTTTAGTTGTTCAAGTGTTTTAATAACATTGCATCAGCTTTTTGGAGGTAGTGCCCACTTGTTCAGGTACTCTACATGAGATTGCTTTTAATCTAAAAAGAGAATTGACCAGGTAGCAATCGTTCTGTTGTCTTGAACAGCTACATTCTATGAAGTGCATTAGAAGTCTTTATAATATACATAGAAACCATAGCATCTTAAAATAATCAAATATTTCTATCTTCTGTTCTACATTCTCATGTTCCAGACAAGTTCAGAATTTCAGTATGCTTAGAACTGTCCCTGGAGATCTGTGATATGTCCAGGAATATAAAATAGCCACTGACAGGCTTTTTGATATTCTTGCTGTCTTATTTGTACCCTTTTAATTTTTTGTCTTTATTTAGCCAGTGCAAGTGGCCTCTGGTCAGTTAATGCAGGAAACCAAATACATAATATTTGATGCGCAAAGATAAGTATGTGTGTGGTGACTTCTTACATCCACATAGCCGTACTGAATGAGAGCTACTGGGAGTTGTAGTCCAAAAGGTTATTATTTTAAAGCTCTTCCACTTGTACTGTCACTTGTGTTAATTGATGGCACAGTTTGCATTTAGGCTTACTACAAAGCTGGCATCTTGCTGTAGGTCTTGGAGATTTGCCCTTGATGAACAATAATTACAGTTTAATTGGCTCTCTATAGGAGTGTGGTATGTTGTTGTTTGCCTTCAAGTTATTTCCAACTTATGGCAGCCATAAGGTGAACCTATCACAGTTTTTTTTTGCAAGTTTCTTCAGAGGCGGCTCATCCTCTGAGGCTGAGAGACTATCACTTGCCAAAGGTCACCCAGTGGGTTTCCATGGTGGAGCTGGGATTAGAACCCTGCTCTCCAGAGTCACAGTCTAACGCTCAAACCATTACGCCACATGCCTTCTTCTATTTCTCTTGGAATGGGTTTACCATCAAAGATGAAATTTATCTCTTTGATGTTGCATTGTAGCACCTTCATTTGCAGCTGACAACTGATGGAGTTCTGTTAATTTTCCGTTTTTCTGGATTTGCAATAGGGATTAGAGGAGTATGTTCTATATAAGAAAGTCAATTGCTATTTATTTATGATTATAAAACTGATTCTTCTTGAATTAGAGAAAACCAGGGTTGTGTAATTGTGAGAATACTTGAGTGGGCCTTGGAAAAACAAGGTTCCAGTTTCCAGTTAGCCATGAAATGCTCTATGTTACCTTTGGCTGATCATTTCCTTTCTTAGCCTGACCTATATTCTAGGGCTTTGTTAAGATAAAATGGGAAGCAAGAGAAAAATGTACACTTCCTTAATCTCGCTCCCAAAAAGGCAGGGTATTAATTAATAAATATTGATTAATTCAAATTTATGAAAATAATAGTATTACTGTAATAGTAAGGCAATTTACATGTCCAGATTCTGTTAATATAATAAATCAAAAGTTTCTTGGCTGTAAAAGTTTTATTGAAGGCAAATATGCAAATATGGATATGTGAAATTCACAGATGTTTGGCATGAATATAAGAACTCTTTAATAATGAATATAATTGTATAATTTATAATAGAATGTAGATTGGCAATGCAGTGTTATACATGTTTACCCATAAATAAGTCATGCTGTGTTATATATAAGAAACCCAGTATTGTTTACTTCCTAGTGGCTAAAATAGGATTATCATCATCTTTTATGTATTTGAAGAAATTAAATGTAGTTATTGGAGGTATATATGGAAATCTATTTATTGTAGACTGCTTTAAATAAGAATTTAATTGACTTTATAGATACGTGTGCTGTAGTAGTTTCGGCATTGGACTATGACTCTGGAGACCAGGTTTTGAATCCCCACTCAAACATCAAAACCTACTGGGTCAGTTGGGCAAGTCATTCTCTCAGAGACTCAGAAGAAGGCATAGGCAAATCCCATCTGAACAAATCTTGACAAGAAAACTCTGTGATGGGGCAGGCACCTTAGGGTTGCCATAGGTTGGAAACAACTTGAAGGCACCCAACAACAAGTGACTTTCTTACTTGTAATTATATATTAAATGTTTTACCCAAATTAAATATGAGAACTATAACATTC